CTAGGATCAGAAAAAATACTCTTGCATGACTGTGAGCCTCACATCATTTGAATACCGATATTTCTAATTCATTCTTTAATTACTTTATTCAGTGTGGTAATAGCCACTAAATCATTGATGGCAAACCTTTTGGGCTCAGCGTGTCAAAATTTTAAAAAATGCCTGATTCTGTTGACATGAAAGCAGAAGAAAGCAGCCATAANAAACTAATCCTACTTTCAGACTATACAGTATTGTATTGTATTGTATTGTATTGTATTGTATTGTATTGTATTGTATTGTATTGTATTGTATTGTACTCTACTCTACTCTACTCTACTCTACTCTACTCTATTCTATTCTATTCTACTCTATTCTTGGTTGTTATTTCATGAACAAGGCGCAGAATATCAGAAGAATTCATACATTATCTTGCTTTAGGTCATTTATCTCTGATAAACATTCTTGAAGTGGTTTACCAGCATGAAATATTGAAACCAAATCAGAAAATAAGTGTCAAAGGATTATGTAAAGCTCTGCCATAATTCAATAACTGGCTTAAATATTCTCATTTACACATGAGGGCACAGTATTTGGTGCTTGAAACTGAAGGGCAATTTTTCCTCTGATGATATATTAGTTTATAGTCCATTCAGGGCTTCATCTATAACCAGACAACAATAATTTGATAGCATTAGGGACGGGTCTATGACAATTTGCCATAGCCAACTCACCATGGCCAACTTGCTGCAGACAAGTCACTATGGACCAACTCACCACAACCAATTTGCCATGGAATAACTCATTGTAGATCTTATTAGTTAAAGAGTTACACTAATGCCAAAGAAATGGTGGGATAGAATCATTAAAGAAAGGATACAAAACTAGGGACAGAATGAAATGTGAATGATAAAAATTAAAATATTTTTAAAATTTAATTTACATGATTAAATTGAATTGTTAAATTGTCCCATGGCAATGTCCATGGTGAGTTGGCTGCAGTGAGTTGTCTGTGGTGAGTTGTCCCATTCGATGTGGACACTACTTTGTTTGCCTTCGCAAAATCATTGAGACCATATATTGTTTGTATGTATATGTGTATATGCGTATATATGTATGTGTGTATGTATGTATGTATGTATGTATGTATGTATCTATGTATCTATGTATCTATGTATGTATGTGTATATGAGTCTTGTTTGCAAGCAAGCATCACCAAAAACATTGAGAGTAGATTCTTGATTTGTAAAATTAAAGTTTTAAAAACAAGTTATAGTATTAAAGTACATATTTGATACATTGATCTAAATGAATACTTTAATGATTAATTAGTGTAAGCAGGAAAAATTCCTACCTGAAATCTGTAGCTTGCTTTTTACTTAAAGAGAACATTATTTTCTCACCTTACAGAGAAAAAAATAATATGTAAAAACATTATAAGGAAAGCTTGTATTATCATTTATTTATGGAATATTTTTTGTAAATATAAAAACATTTTCTCCTTATAGGAGAAGGAAGTTTATCATAAATCAGGAAGGATAAAATGGAGAAGGACCAAACTAACCCTTCTGAACTTCCTTCCACATTGCTGTGTTATTTCAGCTGCTACTATTCTTTTACAGGCTCCTTTGAGTAATCTTTGCTAAAATATATTCCTGATATTCTACCTTCTGAAATGTTTGGGGGAATATGAGACATGTTTTCCAACCCACTACTAATATGAGAATTATTTGTAAAATGGTCCTTGTAAGCTCTCAAATAATAATTTAACAGTATAGCTATCTGGGAGTTTCTATATTTTATATATTTATTCCCACCTCCATCCCCTGTCTTATGATTCCTTTATATTTCCTTTCCATATTTATACAATTTCCAGGCTCTAAATAAAAAACAGAAAATGCCATTCCATGTCGATTTCTAAATCCAAAGTACCACAGGTCCAATTAATCCATATTCTGCAATATTCTCTATACTTTTTTGCCTACTGCCTTTTCAGTTACCTTCCCAAGAACTGGAAATTAGAAATATGCCAGTAGTTGCCTAGTAACATTGGATCCAGAAGTAGCCTTTTGAGGAATAGGCAGCCAGCACCTGTTTCAAGGCAATCAGAATTCTCCCTCCTTTATGTACATACTGATTACTACCTGAATCCCCTTTCCCATCTCATTCTTCATTCTTGGAGTAACATTATAGAGAACTGTCCGCTTTTTGCAATTTCTGAGATGAACTATTGTATCTTAAATGGTTCCAACTCTCTGAAATCAATTCCATTGGCAGAAATAACTGTTCAGTCGATGACAAAGTTTGATGGGGGGAAAAAATGCAAGTATCTATTCACATCTCTTCTCCTCTAAGACCAAGACAGTTATGGAATCATGAATTTCCAAACTCTATGTAGCCCCAGAGTTAGGATATTAAAATTGCCTAGAATCAGTAGCTAAATCAACCAGTAGATAAATCAATTTCAATCTTGCAATGAGATAAAGTAGCAGTGGAAGGGCCCTTTTAAGAGGTATAATATATAGCAGTAGTTCTAGTTCTTTTTCTGGACTAACCTCACTGATAAGACTCGGGTAAGCCTCCTCACAACAATCAAGAACAAAACTGCCAAGGTCATGGGTTGATGTAACATACAAAACCCATTTAGCCAAATCTCATGAGAAGGATTTCCCCCTTTTCCTTCCAGATGGCCTGGGTAGTCTTAAAAGATTAAGACTAGCCGGTTAGCTTGAAAGTAGATAAACTAAAACAGTTAAACCCTTCTGCTCCAGCAAATAGTGTGGACAGTAGTTTTCATATGTGGCTATTGTTAACTGATACATGTTTTTTTAGAATGAGATATGAACTGAACCAAGACATTTGCTTAATGAAAATGTAGAATGACACTTGGGTCTACAAAGCCCAACAGTCTTGCCACAAACCAGAATGACCCTAGCCCTAGACCAATCTTATTTTTAAAACCTACAGAAATAAAAATATTTCTTTCTGTCTTAGTTTGCTCTTACTTAAAAACAAGTGCACAAACTGTATAGCAGTTTTGTAACTACTTGTTCTGCTGTACAAAGTTCAACTAATGTAAAAGTTTACTTGTTAAAGCCAACATTCTGATTTGATATTGTTTGCTGTAGGAATAAGGTGTGATAATTTTGATCTAAAATAACATTATGTCTTATGGGCAAAAAAGGATTGGACTGATTTTTCACAAGCTGATGAATTAAACTTAAAGAACAACCTTATGATTATAAAGTATTTGAAACTGTATGCAATAGAATTACATAAATTTAATTGTTACCTTTTAATAATACTAGAAAATATATTTTATATACATACAGTACATCCATACGTGAAAACAGATGTTTCAACTCAAATTATAAGTAGTAACATAGAAATGACTCAGAACATTCAAAACAAATAAACATGCATATTTATGTTAACAGAAATCATAATGAACTAAAGTTAATAATAACAATTGTTCTTGAACATGTAAGAATAAACCTTTTTTTTCCTAAGCACTGAACATAATACATTTACACTCCTATATTAAACAAAACCAAGCTTGGTGATATATGAACATAGTAAGAAATATTGACAGGATTTGTTTTTTTGGTTTGGCTTATTGTTCTGATCCAGAGTTTAGACAATTCCTTAGAGATGGCATGGAATTCCACTGGAATACTTCAGAATAAAGAAAATAAAGGATTCCTCTAAGCAAACATAAAAACAGAGGAATACCATTGAATCAGGCCAAAGTTTATTTCATATAACATTTTGTTTCCAAGTAACAAAAAAAGGCCTCTGAATTTCTATGTCCTGTAGAAAATATGTATGGAACAATACACTGTTATTATTTTGTCCTGAAGGACAATTTCTGTAAACACATTCTCTCTCTCTCTTTCCCTCTCTCTTTCTCTCTCCCTCCCTCCCTCACACATACACACATAGAGAGAAATTGTTATACAAGAAATACAAAAACATTCAAATTTAACAACTTTAACTGCCTTATTTTGGTCACCATACTATGAAAAAGATGTTGAGACTTTGGAAAAAGTTCAGAGAAGTGCATCTAAGAGGATCAAAGGCCTGGAGATTAAAACATATGAAAAATGGCTATGGGATCTGGGTTTGGCTAGTCTAAAGAAAAGAAGAATTAGGGGTAACATATTAGAAGTATTCCAGTATTTGAGGTAAAGAGGGGGGGGGGGTTGAAATTATTTTTGAAAGCACCAGAGGACAAAACAAGAAACAATGAATCAAAACTACCGGTAATCAAAGAGAGAAGCAACCTGAAATTAAGGAGAAACTTCTTAATAGCGAGGACAATTATCCAGTGGAACAGCTTGCCTTCAGAAATTGTGGGTGTTCTATTAGTTGAGGTTTTTAAGAAGAAACTAGACAGTCACTTATCTGAAATAGTATAGGTTTTCCTGCTTGAGCAGGGGGCTGGATTAGAAAACCTCCAAACCTTCCTTTCAACTCTATTTTATTCACAGCATTATTTTAATTACTTCTGAAATCTTGAGTGCATAGTCCTTGAAGACAAAGGGGTGTGTGTGTGTGTGTGTGTGTGTGTGTGTGTGTGTGTGTGTGTGTGTGT